TCACACAGTGGGCCACAGTATCTATTTGTGGAATGAAGGTGTCAGGCTAATGTTGATGGAGATGATTTTGCCGGGCCGTCATCAGTAAGCTGCATGCTTTGGTTTGTGTCTCCAACGATGCACTGTGGAATGAAGTGAGATGGAGCTGGGGTGAAAGCTGTGAGGCAGGAGCTGGGCTTTGTCCTCAACCAGCTGGGTGGCTTGGCGAGGCTCCTTACCTCTCTGGGCCACAGCTTCCTTATGAGCACAGTGGTGTTTGGGTTCCTTCTCTATGAAGGTCCTTTCTAGGCGAATAGTCCTAGAAGCAAGAGGTCTAAGAATTCTAGAACATCAGTGCCACATACACTAGAATATTACTCCTTGATAAAAAGGAATGATGTACTGGTGCAGGCGATATCAGTGTCAAGTAAAAAAAAAAAAAAATCCAGTTCCAGAAGACTGCATACTCCATGACTCCATTTGCACAAAAAGTCCAGAATAAGCAAATCTCTAAGTACAGCAAGTAGATTATTAGTAGCCAGGACTTGGACAGGGGTGGGGACGGACGGGGGGAATCATGATAAAGGGCATAGGGTTTAATTTTGAAAATGTTCAAAATTGATGGCAGAGATGGCCGCACTAGTCTGTTAAAGAGTTGTAAGAAAAAACAGTGGATTATACAGTTTAAATGGGTAAATTATATGGTATGTGAATTCTATCTCAACAAAACTTTATTTTAAATGTCCTATATTTTCACTGGACTTCATGGTTTTCAGAGGCACTTCAGATATATTTTAAAATTCATTTCTCAGCATAATCTTGCATGTGTGAGACGAAGGGAAGAGGATAACCAAGTTTCTGCCTTGGTATAAATAGAGTAGAATTAAGGAGTGTGGGCTCTAGACTCAAACTACGTGAATTCCAGTTCTGGCTGTGCTGTGCATTATCTTTTCTTTTGGTACCGGGGATCGAACTTGGGACCTTGCGCTTGCGAGGCAGGCAGTGGAACCACTGAGCTAAATTTACCCCGGCCCTGTGCTGTGCATTAGCCGTGTGATCACTGGGCAGATTATCAACCCGTTTCGCTTCCTTACCTATAGCCGTGGTTTTTGTGAAGATTAAATGAGCTGGTGCACAGGAAGTGGACAGTATGATCGTTATTTGTTCTGTGCTTATGTGACCCCATGTGGTCCTCACAGCCTTCCCTGCTCCGAGCTACAGGGGAGGCGCTGAGGCTTGGTGGCAGCATATGTTATTTAAGGCTATACTCATAAGAAGGTGAAAAGTCATGAGCAGAACTGGGCTTGAGTGCTTCAGGCACCTTACCTTTTCCTCTCCTTCACACCTCTTAGGCTCCAGTTAGTGGTGGATGGTCCAAACCTGCTGGGGCCCCCTTCTGTCCAAGGTTAGACATGTCCAGGCTGGTGGGTGCCCTGCAGGGTCCCACTGGTAGCTTCCACTCTCATGGAGTGGAGTGAGACTAGAGCCTGGCACTCTTTCCACCTACCATCACCTACCATTTATCTGTGTAAGTATTTCATCAAATACACTATAGGTGCTACAGAGATCCCCAGGGTAGGTCTTTGTAGCTAATCAAGGGAGATTTTTAAAAGCTTTTCATGTCCTAGTTCCCTTCTGTTCTGTTGCCTTAGATGCTGCCCATCGTCTTGCCATGGGGCTAAGTGGAGCTGCCTCTGCCCTCTGTGGAGTCCTGTCATGGCCACGGAAAGGCCTCACACAGGTGACAAGGGCTGCGGGTCTGCCTCGAACATGACTGCAGCCCCCAGCCATGAGCCCCACCCAGGGTTGTTGGGCTGGGGAGAGTTCACCTTAAGAGTTTCTGTAAATATTATTTCTCCAGGATGTCCAAGTTTCATAGCTCATTTTCACTGGATTTCTTTCTGACTAAGTTTCCTAAACATATATCCTTTTGCAAGCAGCCCTGGCAGGAAGGAGCAGCACCCAGCCTGAGCTGCTCATGTCGCTGCCTAGGTGTCCAGCTCTCTAGGATGACCTCACTCCAGTTTTCCAGATATACATCCTCCTGCAGCTGCCACTGAGCAAGGAGAGAGCGTGAGAAGGGGGCCTCAGAAAGAGAGGGAGGGGAGGCCGTGGTGCATCGTGCCCTTCCCCTTGCAGCAGTCCGGTCCCGGCGTGGACAGCCATCCCATCTGCACACACTCGCCTGCCATGTGCCGGGGGCTGGGTGCAGTGCACAGGTGGTCCCTGCAGCCAGGGCTGACACATGATTAGGGAGACAGACACACCGACCTGTACATGGTAAAACAGCGTGTAACAAGGACCCCATTTGTTTTTGAGCAAATGCAGACGAAAGTGAAAAACCATAATATGCTGTCTCTTTTCCTCTGTTCTTTATAAAATTTTCCTTTTTTTCCCTCTTTCAAAGCAGAAAATGATATACAGTAAAAAAATATTATGGTTAGCCCCCTCTTGGAGCAAGGGGTGGAGTAGGAACCCAGGGCTTGCTCACTCAGAACACACCCCAAGTGCTGGGCACTTCAGCGCCACTGAGAATAACCATCAGTGTGTGAATCCCTGACCCTCACTGTGCCTTTGGTTATAGATTACAGTTTTATGGATTTTCTTTATCCAACTTTGATATTTATTCTATAAATATTCATATATAAAATACTAAGGAAGAATCACTGAATCCAATTTCTGCTGGGCCCCAGGCAGCCCCTCTCCCTCCATGGCCCTGGCCATCAGGGTGCTTCACCTGGACTCTGATCTTAGTATACTGTGCCTAAGGATTATTATCTGGTTAGCCCTTCTTGGAGCAAGGGTGGATGGAGCAGGAACCCAGGTCTTGCTCACTGTGAGCAGGAAGGGCAGTGGTTGCAGCACCCCAAGGATGAAGAGGCAAGTTCTTGCTGAAAAATGACACATCTTCATAGTTGGTAGGATACCTCTGTTTCCCCACTTCTGAAATGGGGACAGCAACTTTTGATTTAGCAGAGTAGAAAGCAGCTTTTAAAAAGCTACTTAGTGGTAGATACACATTTCCTCAAGAAATTCAGTTTGACAGTGCATTGTAAAAACACAGTGGAAGAGTGCTGGAAGTGCTTGCCTGGCAGATTTGTGATCCTCAGTGTCCTGGATAGAATGGGTCCTGCTCTGTGTGCGCGTGTGCATGTGTGCATGAGTGCGTGCATGTGTGCATGAGTGCGTGCATGTATGCGTATGCGTGTGTACTAAAGATTGAACCTAGGGCCTCACTCATGATAAGCATGTGTTCTACTACTGAACTATATCCCCAGGCTATTTTTTAAAGGACTGCATTAGATGTGTTGGTTGGGAATGCTGTATTTATCAAAAAGAAATGTCAACCTGAAATATACCGAATCGTCTTTGCAGATGTCCTCCTACCTTGTCTCGTGTTCATTATTTAAACCCTGCATAGATCTCTGCATACCTAGGGGACCTACCCAAAGGGGGAAACAGAGCTTTTGAGTGGATATCCCAACCCCGACCTGGGCACTTGCCTGTTGTCTGAGGAGCTGAGTCTGTTTTCTCCTCTGCTCTCAGGGGTTTCTTAGTGGTGGTTCACTAGGCTAAGACCCATGGTCCCTCACGTTTCCGGTGCAGAAGCCAGGAAAGGGAGTTTACGCCTGCTGAGTGAGGCGTGCGCTGCAGGGCACTCCGCCTGCCTGGGTCTAAGCCTAGCGTTTCTGGTCCTGCCCGAGGACCTGCTGAGGATGAGCTTAACACTGCATTCAGCCGGGCACAGGGGACCCAGTCAGGGCCGTGGAGGACGCGCCAGTTTATTCTGGGTTGCAGACTTCCCGTCCTTGGGTCCTTGGCTGTGTTTACCCACAGTGAGGTCAGCCTCATTCAGAACTGAGGAGGTTGTTTTATGTCCATGGCATTTATAATTAAAATGAAACCATAGCCAGGCTCCGCAAGACATTAAAGAAAGACAGAGAGGTAGAAAAAAATGGATTTGAGAAGGGAAAATTCTGGCGGTTGAACGGATGCATGTATTTAAAGACCGCTTAAAACCTGTAAAGATGTTTGTTCTTTTAAAGAGTGGAAAGGATGTCTGAAAACTTTTGGTTTGGTCCAGAGGCATATTCGTATTTTAAAATCTATCTACAAAAATCCCTCTGTATAATCAGATAAGGGGTGGGGGCCGAGGGACCAGGAGGTCTTCACGTCACGCATGTGACCAGGCTGGAACACCCATCCTGAGGACCTTCCTGCTGGGAAGCAGGAAGGTCCTCTGTGGCTTCTGTCAGCAGAGTGCAGCTTTGCTGCCTTGGTCTTCTGGAAAGCTGCTGGGATGCGGGGCCCAAGCTGATGGGAAGGCAGCGCCTTTACCATGAAGTGCCAAATCACATCAGCCCAGACAGTGGAAGTCTGGAGGCCCCAAAACAACAGGCAGGGAGGGAGGGATCTCACTAAGGTGAAGTCTGCCCTGGAAGCAGAGCTGCTGTGCAGGATTCTTTTAACTGGCAAACCCCCAGTGCCTTTAGGATGTGGCTGGATTTATAAATATTTGATTGGCACGCACTTTGCTCAGGAACATTTCCATCTGTGCAGTTAGCGGCACCAGTAATCCTCCTCTCCGCACAGCCTCTTTCGTGACTGGGGAGGAGACTGCAGGCCCGGGCAGCTCAGAGCTCACCATCGTCCTCCCATTACCGTGCCAGGCGTGGGTCCCACCAAGGGCTAAGGCGTGGCCCACTCGCCAGAGGAGACTCTCCAGTGCGAAAGCAGCACTGAATGTGGCAGCCCCTTGCCTTTGCCCGAGTGGCTTGCTCTGCCAGAGATAGGGCAGGTCTTGCCAGCCCAGGGCCTGGGCATGTCGCACCTCTTTGTTGGGCCTCAAGACTTCCATCTTAGAAGTCCCAGAGAAGCTGGGGTGAAAAGGCACCCTCAGTTCCGTAAGGAAGGATAGCATTCACTTAAGTTTAACAGACTCAAAACATCAAATGTTAGGTGAGGAAGGCCCAGGAAGGCCTCAAAATGATGACAATGGTGATGATAAATATAATTTTCCAAGCACTCACATGCCTTTAAATGTGCTAAATACTTTCACAGACCTCACATTTCAGATTCCTACTTTTGTAGGAGGTAGATACTGTTGTCATTGTTGTTTTTAAAATGAGGAAACTGAGGCATATAGAAGAGAAGTAACTCTACCATGGTGACACAAAAACTAGTGTCAGTGATGGGACCTATGTCTACATCTGTCTGACCCACACGACATGCTGTGTCACTCCAGTGTGTTTCTTTAGTTTGTGGGGTGAAACCTCCATCATGGTGCTGGTATCAGAGGTGGTGGTGGGGTACAGAAAGATCCTCAGTGTTGGGAACAGCTGAGGAGGTTGGCCATGCTGTCCCCATTAGAAGCTGGTCACTCCCTGTGAGCTGTAGTGTTCTCAGAGTGGTAGTAATTCATCACCTCATGGGGAAATGAAAGAGTCTAGCACAGTGCCTGGCAAGTATCAGTGCTCAATAGATATTGAATATATCACTGAATTTACCTCCAGGACAGTTCAGTCACTCATCAAATTAATGCTTGCTGGGCATTACTCCAAGAGATGTGCTGGACATACAAATTAGTGCCGGGTCTTAGGAGACAGAGTCCTCGTCCTGAGAGAGTTTAGTGGGTGACAGAACCAGAGAGTCATCACACAAGTACAAGTAGGAGTGAGAGATGCACTGTACTCGGGCCACTCCTCACATGTTGTGTCCGCAATGGAACTGGCCATCTTTCCTGGCACCTGTGCCTCCTCCACAACCCTCCCTCTCATGGTGACGCCTCTCCCTGTCTCTCAGAGCTAAAGTGGGAACCTTCTCACGAACTGCACACCGCGGGGTCAGAGTCAGCAGCTCTCGCTGTCTGGTTCACCTGGCTCTGGTGGGATAGAGGGGAACCCGTGCTGACAGGTGCCTGCAGCTGTGGTCTGAGGCAGGTTGAAGACAAATTCAAACCATGCTCTCCACAGGCAGGAAGCCCCACCAGGGGAGACTGTCCTCAGGTGTGCATTAGGGTGGCAGCAGGCGCGCATCCATGGGAGGGTGGGCTCTGCAGTAAGGCATCTGGAGCCTTACTTGCCTAAGGGTAGGAAGAAGACATATATTTGAAAACTTCCCCATTTTTCCCAAGGCAGATCAGCTAGTTCAGGACAGAGAAGCTGTGAAAGAATGATTTTTGTCTTCTAGAGTTCCAAGGCATACAATTCTGTCTTGTGACAATTTATAAAGATTAATTTAAATATCCAATTGGCTTTTAGGAATGGTCTTCCTGAAGGAAGTCTTGGAATGAGACTCTCTGCCTGTAACTACAACTCTATTCATGTTCAGAACAGTAGTCAAGGGATAGAAAGCATTCCCTTGCCAAACTATGTGGATCACGGTTAAGCGGAAGCACCCACTCTATTCCTGTCCAGGGCTGATTCTGCTTCCTAATAACCTCTCCAGTCAGAAGTGCCAATGCAGTACCACTATTGGGCAGAAGAGGGCAACAGATCCACATTCAGGGAGTGTATTATGCCTGGGGTTTCCCGGAGGCTATCTCACCTGCAAGATCTTACTAGTTTTCAGACTTGTGATGTGCACAAAGCCAGGCTATCATTTCCATTCCACAGGTGAGGAAACAGTCTCTGAGATTAAAATTTTTCTCCAACCTTAGACAGCTGGAGATTCTGGAGATTAGAAGAGCCAGAAGGCCAGACCATTGGAGCTTTTGCAGAATACTTGATGCAAAATGGAGAGAATGTCCACAGTCCAGTTAGACGTGGTAGAGCAGGAATTTGAACTCAAGATTGCTGACTCTAAACTAGGGCTCCTGACTGCAGAGGGCACGTGGATTATCCAGTTCTGGCATTGGACAGATGTAGGGTGGATTTCTGCCCACTACCCCACTTACCCTGACTTCTGTCCCCTAGCCTTTGTTCTTAGTTCCGGAGTAAGCAAATAAAAGGCTGACATCCCAACCCTGAATGTTGGCCGAGAGGCCCAGAATCAAAGCCGGAATCAAGACCCTTGTCCTCCCTGGGAAGTGGTATTATAGAAGAGAGGAGACTAGGGAAGTTCCTTTAATATATACTCATTTCCAAATGCTGTATTGAATGTAGTGAAATCTTAATGATGATAACAGCAATATTAACCAATATATGCTGAGCTGTTACTCTGTGCCAGGCACTGTGACAAAAACTTTCACTATATTATCTCATTTAACTCTCCCAAGTAATATTGTTTTACAAATGGGAAAAGTAAGACAAGAAAGACTAAGGAACTTGCCCACTTGGCGCGTAATCCAGCATCACTGGGATGCCAGCACCCTACGCACACTCCCAGGGCTCACTGTGCTGCGCTCCGAAAGTTCCCGGCATTACACCCACAGCAGACCTCAGGGTTTGTCTCCATGTTATGTAGCCGGGATGCAGTCTGTCGTGTTAACGGTGGGATGACAATAACGGGAGCATATGACATTCAGAAATCCCAGCAGCTATAGCCTGTTTTTACCGTGGAATGCAAGTTTTCCCAGAAAGGCCCCTTAACCTCAAGAATAGGTCCCCATATCCCCCTTTCCTCTAGAGACTAGAGCACTCCCCAGTGATTCAGGAAAATTGATAAGCTTATTAGAAACATTTAAAACTCAGAGAAATTAAAGCTTGTCCCCCTGTGTTGTGTGGACAGATCACGTAAGTTGTATATCATGTCTAACACAATGGACTACAATCTAAGTCCATTTATTTACAGTAAACATCACTTACATTTAATGTACTAGAGTCATTTATATCTATCTATCTATCTCTTTGCTTATTCTCTTGCCTGTTTTTCGCTGAGTATAAAGTTGACAAGAGGCCCATTTAACAAAGAGTCCACACAAAGCCCCCAAACCCTAATCCTGCAGATGCAACCCTCAGCCTCAGTCTTTCCGCTCGTCTCTAGGGCTGAGTAGTGGGTAGGAAAGAAGGGACAATACCACCTGTTCTGAAAATGCCGGCATCCATTCCAGTTTCCTCTGCATCTGAGAGAAGAGGGTGGGCTGCAGTGAAGTGGTCACTGCGCTTAGAGCCTGTAACCTTTGGTGCATAGCTCAGGGCTAATTGAGACTGCCTGACACATAAACCATCCTATCAGGCCAGCATTGTGCATTCTATTTTAAAGTTATTCCCACGAAACCCTTCTTCTTGCCTGTGCCCTTCGAAGTTCTTGCATGGCTCCTGATTTTTACCCACACTTTCCTCCTGTTTTACACTTGAGATTGCTGCCCCTCTAAGCAGGGAGCAGGTCTCTGCAACAACTCATGTCTCAGTGGTAGTCGGGGAGTCTGAAACATTGCAGGAGGACTAGACACTGGGTATCAGACTCACCCCCAGTACCAGAAGTGCTGCGGCAGAAGGAAGAGGTGTTTATACTTAGCCAAGAAGGTTCTTTTCTTCGAGGTCACACCTCCATTTAGCAACATCCTCTGAGAGCTGGCTGCCAGGAAAGCTGAGGAGGGGTAGTCAGCCTTTGGCTCTCCGGCTTCCCCTCTTTGGCTTCAGCAGGGTCTGGAGAATGACTTTCCCCCTCCTGGTTACCGCAGCCCCATCTGCATGATGCCTTGCGGGAAAGCTGCATAATTTATGATGTGTAAAACTACGGTCATGGACTAGGATTTCACAAAGTAAGCCCAGCGGAAACATCACCTGGAGAAACTGTTAACTTAAAATCAAGCCCACATCTTTGTGCAGGATTTACCGTGCCTGCCCATCTGGCTCTCCCCATCATGGAGCAGGCAAACCCTTGGCCAGCCTTCAGGGCTGCATCTTTCACTAGTTACAGAAACTCAGGAAAACATCCGCAACTGCTGGCAGGCAGTAGTGTCAGGCTGCTGCGCATCCTTTTAAAAACTCGAAATAGGACACCATTCACTAAGCACCAGCTCACAACTCCCCGTTTTCCAAACCCAGGCCGATTGCTTTTATCTGTTGTTCCCACCTCTGAATGAATGCACCACTGAATGGAACCCCAGAGAAGCAGGTACCGGTACTGAATTACCCACCCTTGTCCTATCCTTGACTAAGAGAGACCCAGAAAGGTGAGGGGTGTAATACAGACGGCTGCTTACTGTGCTGGTCGCTTCTGTCCCTTGTCCCATCCACTTTGCCGTCTGGAAGGATCCTCAGGAAGTGGCCCCCGTTGCTGCAGTAGAGCAGTTTGGGCTTCTTGTAATTCCCTGGAGGCAGATTAAACTTCTCAGTCAGGGCTGTGAAGGTTGTGATTTCTCCTTCAGCCATGGCTCAGTAGCGGCTTATTGTGGCGCTTTCAGGACTGTAAAAAATTAAACAAACCTGTAGAATGTTCTGCCTGCAAAGGCTCAACAGACACTTTCAAGAAGGGTAGGACTGCTTCAGTGCACAGGGCTCCTGGTCAGCTCGTAACCACAGCCTGCCCAGGTGATGCCCAGAGCTGGGCCTGTGAGGTGGCTGGTGGTTAGAGAGGGAGGGTCCCTGGCAGGGGAGGGCTTTTCGGAGCATTCTATCTTCCCAATTGGACACTACTTTGGACCAAGCTGTGCATTTTTTAGAGCTTCAAATTTAATCACTTAGCCAAAGGGGCAAAAAAATCATGTTTCAGTCCCTCCTTCTGGTCTACACAAATCCTCAAATTAAACACTGAAGTTGCACTAAAATAACATCTGGGGTCAAACCACAGATGCTGGAAGGCTGGGTCTGAGGCCCTGGCCTCCACCCTCATACTGTTTGACTAGGTCCTGCCAGGCCCGGGCATAGCAGAGAGCACAGATGGCCTGGACCTTCGGGGACCAGGGAGCAAAGGACACGGGAGGGGCAGGGAAGAGTTGCTAGCTAAAAGAAACATTCTGGGTTTGCTGGAACCAGGGAGTAAGGCAGGGAAGGAGATTAATGGGGATTTTTAAAGGCAAACACTGTCCCAGAGGATGTTTGATAAAGTGGATTATTACGAAGGGGATGCCTGGTTTCAGCTTTCCATGGGTCCGTTTTTGTACCTAGGTCATCTCCATCCTAATTATTTTCTAGTACAAGATGTAAGAAAGAAACTACCATGTTATATTTCATAATCCTCTAATGCTGTATACACTTACCATATACACATTTATGTTATTAGTGTAAAAATGCATCAATTGTTGCTCCAAAAGATTGAAAAACAAAGCCAATGAAGGTAAGAATTTTCTAGCATATATGTGTCCCATCACTTAGAAAAAGGAAGTGCTGGTGACTACAAAGAGTTTAAAATAAAGAGGCCAAACAGAGCAGGAACCTGCTGTAGGGGATTCACTTGTGAGTAGGTGCTAATTATATACATGGATTATCAAGTGGTCTTATCCTAACAGTGAGTGTCATCATCTTCAATATATGCTAGGCTATAAGTTCGTGCCTGTTAACCTCACCATGACCCTTTGATGCAGACTCTAATATTATTCCTGTTTTTCACAAAATGGAACCAAAACTTAGAGATATTAAATGACCTGTCCAAAGTCAACAGCTACAAATGGCAGAACCAAGCCTCAAAATGGGCCTGTGAATACAAAACCCTGGTTTGCCCTTAATCTCTAGGAAAAGGCAAAGTGATTTCCACTGACATGGAAGTATTGTTATCAGAAGTGGGGTTTTACCCATTGCTTGGCATGAACATCTGCCCCTGTAAACTCATCATTTAATTCATTTTTCACTTGGACTCAAATGTTGGCTATCTTCACTTGCTTTTGCCCCCTGTCAACCATGGATCAAAACTCCACACATTTCCCCCATTAGCACTGTAAACCCTGGGGGCCACCAGCCAGCTGCCTGCATCCCTGTCAGAATCATCCACCCCGCCCTGCAGCCGCCTCGTGGAGCTGCTTGCACTGAAAGCAGTTTCATCATAAATCAAGGCACCAACTTAGATCATTTGTCCTTGTGACATTGGAATTAAGGTTTGTGTTGAAAGCACTCATTAATTTTCTGCACTCCTGGCATTTTAATGTTTCTGGTACAAATCTCCCAACCTCCATACATGGGCCAGTCATTGACCTTAGTTTAAGCTACTGTTTGAGGTCCCTCCAAGGACCCCAAAGAAAATTTTGCATGCATCATACAAACAGTTTTTAAAGTCAGACCATCCCAAGTGGCACCTCCACAGGTGATGAAACTCATTCCAGTTTTTTTCACATAATTCAATAACAGACAAAATTTTATGTTGATTTTGCAGGGCAGACAGAGGGCTTACCTTGCATAGAACATATTTTCCTCCCCAAGTCTATCTATTCTAAGCCTTTCTCTTGCATCCCAAGCCTCTGAGTCTCTCTGTGCCCACCTCTGCCTCTCGCACTGTGTCTCCACCTAGACTCTCAGTCTCACTCTCATTCTAGTTCCTCACTCCACTCCCATCTGGATCCCCTTTTCTTTCCCCCTGGTGCTGCACATTGAACCCAGGGCCACATGCATGCTAAATACAGGCTTTACCACTGAGCTACACCCCAGTCTTCTGGATCTTCCTCTTACCTTCCCCCATCACCTTTCCGTTAGAACACACATGACCAGATCCCCCTTCCTTAAAATGCAACTGAGATAAATTTTTCATTTATTTTTTCCAAGCACTTCCTAAGTTATATATTTAATTTGGAATACAGGAGACAATAATTATATTCTAGTGGTTGCCAGCTAACTGAACAAATAGCCATTTTTATTGTCAGTCTCAGGTGGGCAGGATTTTGTTCCTTGTTATCTATGGTCTCCTCCAATTTTTTGTGGTTTTGTTGTTGTTGCTGCTGTTTGTGGGGTGGCTACATGTTAAGGCTGGCCTTCTGCCTAGATGCAGCCCCAGTGAGGGGTTTCCACTAAGTTGTTTCTTAGTGTTAAGCATGCATTTGACACTCTCCATTTGTTTGTTTGTTTTCCATTAAGTTTATTGGTACATTTTAGGTATAAAATAGTTACATTCATCATTGGGATCTTGCACCATTACATGAGTATCTTGGTTCTTATTTTTTTCCCCATTCCCCTGCCCTCCCTTCACCCCCTCCACCTTTCTCTATTTGCAAAGACTTTGTTTCCATTTTTTTCCTTTTCTCATATTTTTTCTTTTCCCTTTCCCCTACCCCTCCCACTTCTCCTGCTCCTATAGACCTTTTCTTCCTATTACACAATATCAATTATACATTTTAAAAATTACAATATCATGATCTAGGAGACATTACCACAGATTTTACAGAATTTAAAAGGATATAGAAAGTATATTACAAAAATCTTTTTTGGAATAAATTTGACAACTTCTGAGAAGTACCTTGGAAGACAAATTAATGATACTAACTCTGGAGGAAATATAAAATTTGAATAGCACCTATTAAAGTATATTCCTAGCTTGAAAACCTACCTATATGACAACAGCAGGCTCATATACATTTTAACTGAAAAATTATATCAAACAATTAAAGCAGAAAAAAGAAGGAACACTTCTCCCCTCATTTTAGGAAATCAACATTGTGACACTCTCTATTTGCATTCTTGCCTGCATCCTTTTGGGATGAAGAGGAGCAGATACACCAAAGGCTGGCTGGAGCTGGAAGTACCAGCTCTGCCCAAAGAGTATACTAATACACTCACACATGTGTGTAAGCCTTGCAGCCCGGACTTCATCACTGCAGAGCTTTCATCAGCTAAATGACTTTGGCCAGAGCCCAGCAGGTCCTCAAGGGTCTGCTCCCTCCTAACTACGATGTAATTTGTGGTCATACAGAGTAACAATAAATCTGTTCTCTGCCTGTCTCTCCTGCCCCATAAGAGGGACAGTCACGGGTGGCTGTACTCCACTGATGGCTCCCATAGTCCTTTGATTAAGGCTTGTACCTGGTAAATTGAAAGGCACATGTCATAAGCCTGGGGTCAATGTGGAGCTGATAGGCCACAGCAGGTGGACTTATGGATCAGCTGGAATCCCAGAGGCATTAAAAGCTTTTATTGTTAACTTTATTTACAATTTACCTATATTTTAAGCAATGGTTGTTCCACAGTTCTTTTCCAATCTGCTGTTTATTAAAGGATGAGAATAAAGGAAATATGTGATGTGATAAAACCATAAGCCATCAGCCTTAGCAGGCTCTGGGGGATTTACACAAATTGCTCTAATAAATGAAACCATTAACTAAGTGAAATCAGGCATTAAACATAATGGAAATTTATGAGCTCTGCTTTTTGTTGCTGTTTTCTTTTTATTGGCTGTCTGGAAGATGATTAGCTATGTGTGTTTTGGGAGATGGAGAAGACCAAGGCCAATGGATTGTATGTCATCATTTGCACAACCAGCCCCTGAAGATTTTAAGAAAGCAGATGATTTTCTGGATGGATCAGTGGCACAAACTGAGAGGAACATCAGTGCTATTGGAACATCCATGTTAAGGCTGACATACTTGGCTAGCTGTGGCCTCTGGAAGAGGCCCTGATTGCAGAAACATGAACAGTAACAGGATGAAGAGTGTACACTCTTGTACAGGAATACAGCTGCCACTCTTCAGTGTAGGGCAGCAGGAAACTACGGCACAGTCCCGGCTGTGCAACAGTTGGCTCTGGGAACATGGGTTACCCCCTCCTTCTAAGATTTCTTTGCTACTTTAGTAACCCCACCCTACCTACTGCACAGAGTTATATGGAGGGAGAAATTAGTATGATTGTGACCTGATATATGGCGCATAGAAATAACTGATAATGCTGAACTAGTTGAAGCCTGGTATGATCTAGGTCAGCTGTAATCAAATGGTTAATTTAAAATAATTTTTCAATTGGTTTGAAAATAGAGATTTCCCCCCCTTTTTTCTTTTTGTGGTGCCAGGGATGGAATCCAGGGACTCATGCATGCTTAGATAAGCACTTGACTACTGTGCTATACCTTCAGCCCTGAAAATAGAGCTTTTCATTCCCTCTCATATTTGGCAGAAATTAGCTAATCCCCTTCTCCCATTATTTAAGCTACAAATATAGCAAAGGAGGTGAAAGAGGTAAAGGCAAACTGTGGTTATATTGAGAGAATTCAGATCATGGTTTCATACTCAGTTCCTAGCTTATCAACAGTTACTGAAGAAATATTTGTGAAACTTGCTATTTCTAACTGACATTTATGCTCACCTTGGCTCTGTTGACTAAACTGGAAGGAAATACTTATGGTTCTAAGAATCAAGGGAAGGCAAACACTGATGTTTACTTTTTGGCTTTGTCTTTAACTCCTGTCACTGCTTATGCAGTGTAGGCTACCCACAAAGGAGGACATTTTATAGTGTATAAAGCCAGTGAGGTTAGATGTGTAGTAGGTATTTATAA